TCTCCTTCGGAAAATTACGAATTATCGGTAAAATTCGTAAATATTTTTCTTCCAAGTTTTTCATGTTCGTAAATTGAGCTGAGGTGTCTGCAAAATTCCGAGAAAAACTTTTCATAAAGTTCTTCAAAAATAAATATTTTAAAGAGGCGATTTGGCAACATTCGAATGCTAACGGCGTTTTTTCACAGCACGGCAGTATAACTAACCAATCATCAATTCGAACGAAGAGGATCGCCCCATCTTCGCGTCGTCTTCTTTGTCTATCGCTTTGTCTATCAATTCAATAATCAGGGCGCAGACCCATTCTGCCGCGTTAAATATTAGTTCCGGAAACGTCACCGACGTGGATTTGTTTGGTCTGCTGGCTAAGAAAGTTGTGCTATTCGCGACGCACTATACGCTATGACACTCGATTAAAAAGCGGTCGGGCGAGAGAGGGATCGAGGAAGGGGGTGGGGGCGGAGGGTGACGTGAGGGGAGGGGAGGAGTTACTTTTAGTTTCAATGACGCCGCTGCCGCCGCCAATTTAATCTTATGGCGAAGTATCTAATAAAGTGAAAATTTCCTCCTTGATATACAACCCCATATAACGTCTAATTTAGTTAAAACTTACATAGTTGTACATACTGGCTCGGGCGGGGCTTTTTCGAGAAAATTGGTGATAAAAAGCGGTGATTTAAAGCCCGCTCACGGCACAATTAAAATTTATCGTATTTTCAAATTAACTTTTTAATTCAGTCCCTCTCCGACTCCTCCGGTGTCCCGCGAGCCGGGTATTCACGCCGCTTCCGTTTTTGTCATGTTTTTAATTATTTTTTTGATGAATATAAAGTCTCTCCTTCACCTCCTCCGTTACCCTTTTTTTCTCCTTTCTTGAGTGGAGTGTGCACTCCTTTGAGCTTAGTCCTTGTGTCGTGCATGCTTATTCAGACTTGATAAACTCCCGCGATTGTTCTGCGGTTCGCGCCGGAGCTTGCTTACGTCGCACAACGGATCGAGTCTATAGGGAGATCGGACACAATTTGGAAACTTTAAACGCTCATAACTCCGTTTATACAAAATTTTGAGGTTCTAAAAGTGGTATCATTGGTTTTTTCTTGAAATTTTCTTCAAGAAACACCCGTATTGGAATTTAAAATGTGACGAAATAAACATCAAAATTTGCAGTATTAGTAAAAAATTTCATGCCCAACCCCTCTGATTGACTCGAGCCACCGTGCGTCGCGTCTTTTTCACTTGCTCGAGTAATTTGGTCATTTAATTCTGCCGTGCTGAGGAAAAATGCCGTATGTTTGCCGAGTGTTGCCACATTTTTTTTTTTTTAGATCAACTCCCAAACAAAATGATCTGACAAATTGGAAGACAGATATTCACAAATTCTCCCCACAAAACTAGCGATTTGTCAAAGGAAATTTGTCAACGCTTGAAGACTCGCACTGCGTTTTACCTTATTTACCTATCCTCCATTTGATATGCTATGATTCAAGAAAAGACAAAGGTAGAAGGGGGGCCCTCCCTCAGTGGAGGGATATCATTTTAAAGGACGCTTAGAGGTATATTATTTTCCATATACAAATTAAAGTATGACAGGAAATCTGCAACGTTGCAAACCGAGATACGTAGTTTGACAGTTTCGCCGTCGATATATCGCAGGCAATTAGCAGTAGCCGGCAAATTGCAATCTATATCTATTGAATAACAAAAACAGGTGAAAATTCAGGATTCAAGATACAAGACAAATATTACTGAAAGTTATGCTTATGCTTTGTTTTTATTTCCATTCTGAAATACATAGTACCAGCTAGCACATTCTAGAGTGCATATACCGAAATCAGTGACCTTAGTTGGGTTTGGTTTGGATAGGCAACTAAACTAACTGTATGGCAAAGCAGAGGGTATCACTGGGGTTTGAAGGCGTTCGAAGCCGTGGCCAGCCTTTTAGAGTTCTTCACCTATTCAACCTTTAGTATGTTTATGTGAATGATTGGATGTCAACGAACTAACACGTATTCTGCTTGAAAATTGCTGGCAGTGGACTGATTTAGTGACTACGTCATTCGATATAATGTTGGACTTGTGGTTCAAACCTGAACAAACTAACATAACCTCATGTACAAATTCTTCGTGAGCTACTTGAGTTATTTTTTGCAAATTTAGTCATTGACCGGTCATAAATTAATTAAGGACCTATTAAACACGAAAAATTCCGATTGTAAGAAACACTTGGACGAATTTTACCACCATGGCGCGAAAACCGCGAATCAGAAACAAGGTTAGGCATTGTTTGTTTACATTTGAACCATGACGTAGCCTCTAAATCAGTCTATTGATTACCAACTGCCCCCGACAAATACATTTAAATGTACTTTGCTCCACTATCCGGTCACTATTTTCGATAGCCAATAATTCGAGCTGTCTAAAATATTTTGTCTGGCGGTGAGGAGCGTCCTCTCAGATAGCCCAGTTGGTTTTCCCGAATGGCGGGAGTTTCAAAAATCGATAGCTGTGTCGCCGAGTGGGCATACGCTCGCTAAGTATTTGTTTGTGCATCGGACGTGCTGGATCCGTCATGTGAACGACTTAGCGAGCTAGTCGCCAGAACGTGACTCTGCCCGTCTCTTCAGAATGAGGAAAAAATTCACAAAGCTACAATAAAGAGCTTCACCGAGGGTAATCAGATTAACCAGGGTTCATACAGGGTTATCCAAAAGTCACTGACCACCCCTGTAACTTTTTTCCAAATTGAGATAGAAGTTTGAAACTTTGGGAATGTTCCTCGGTTTAAAGTAGCAACTTTTTGGTCCCCCCAAAATTTTGGGGGGCGGCCCCCCTTAAGGGGCGCGGGGGCTAACTTTTTTTTTTCAAATGGCAACCCCCCCTTTGTGATACCTCATTCGAAAGATAATAAAAAAAGAAAATTTTTGGCGCAAACCGCAGGTCGAAATGTTCATTTTTGACAAAATGGCGGCCGGTCAAAGTTCAAAATGGCGGAAATTTGGCATCTCCGTTGTGTATTGACGGATTGGTGTGAAACTCGGAATTCTAGGGTTTTTTGAAATGAGAAAAACGATTCTGGCATTGGTTTTCCAGAAAAGTGAGTCTTTTGCAAAATGGCGGCCTAGANGTGTAAATACATAATAAATTAAAGGAATGTTAAAGAATTAAGTGTTATCTATCCCTCTGCTTCAAACCATCGTAAAATCTACTATTAGTAAATAGAATTAGATAACTATGGTGTAAAGGGCCAATTAAAACTACATTAAAAGTAACTTGTACTGTACATACACTATCATTTATATTCTAGAGAAAAAATTATTATAAAATGTATCTTAATTAGATAAAAACCGGTTGAGGAAAAAAAGATCTAATCTTCAATAAACTAATTTTAAGAGTAGGGACTTTTTATAACTGGTATACATTGAAACAAACATTGACTAAACACGGAAGATAAAATTTTCTTATCAAAGAATTATGATTAAATTGTGGAGCGGTGACGCTCGGGCTCGCAACTCCACGAAAGAAAGCAGGTAGAAAAGTCTCAATGAATTGCATCATCCTCTATTTGTTCTGTTTATTTTAAAACTAGGTCTTCTAAGGCCTTAGTACGTTTATCAGATTGACCACGCTCAGTATTAGGAAGCGATTGAATGATGACAGGCTGAGAAGCAGCCGAATTAGTTTTGGCTGGAGCTAGAGTTGTCAAATTTCTTGGGGGAACCCTGTTAAAAATTGACTTTAAGGCTATAAGAGTTATACGGTATGTTGGCTTGTAGCCAGATGTATGATTCCTCATAGCCGGCTTTATGAATTCATACGGACATCCATATAAAAAGCAGGCAATTATTTTAATGGATAACTATTCGCGCTTGCCGGTATGTTTGTTGCATACGCGCTGAAATTGAAGGCGAGATTCAAGTGAAGACGGAACTACTCATCGTTTATTGGTTCAGGAAAGCATACTGCAGTATAGCCACGATCCCGAATCGCTAGCTATGTTTGCTTCCCCGTACATTCGATACATATCATTTCTCCTCGTTCCTCTTCATGTTGTCACGCGCGTTTTCTCTCTTTTCCTCGGCATTTTTCCTTATTTTCCTTTTAGCACCCTTATTGTGATGTTTGACAACGGTTTTCGTACAGTAGCGAGGCGCGAATAATCGACTATCAATATTTCCCCACTTGAAGCTATGGTTAAAAAATCGATTATGATGGTGTCCTTCCTAAGTAGCAAGTAGCACAGATTGGAATGAGTAGCAATTGCATGGTAAAAACATTGCAATTTCATTGAGTGTTGTGCTTGTTGCCTAGCTCCTATTTGAAGGGGCTCCATTTATTGAAACTTATTGCAATGAAATTGAAATGAGTTGCAATTTTTCATTGCATTGCATATTGCCCATCTATCTGACACATAGAGCTCATTTTGTTGATTGTTTAAACTCGGCATAATTCGAATAAATGATGTAAGAATATTGCAATTTAATGGTGAAAAAGTTAAAATTTATTGAAATCAAATTGCAATTTAAGTTCAATATTTTCGTTTCGCTGCGCTATTTGGTTCGCAAACACGCTGTTTCTCGATCCTTTTCAGTAGGTTTAAATGACAGATTAATCGATGAGTCGCAAAGCGTGCCACACCTCTGGTTTTCGTGTGGTCTTTCGATATCAAGTTCATAACCCATGAGTTATCGCTGTGTCCTGACCTGACCACGTGTTGGGGGAGTGTTTAATTGGTAGGATGACGTAAAAGGCACGCCTCTCTTGTTATCAAGTTGTTCCGAATTTTTAATTGCGCCTAGCTTTCTCAACTTTTGATCAAATTGCAATGATCGCGGTCACTTTGCAATTCCTCTCCACCCCACCGGTAGTATCATCACACGTATCATTGACCTTCTGAGTAACAACCTTCTCTAAGGAAACAATATAGTTCGTTAAAAAAAATTTAAGTGTTTGCTTTCATTCTCGGTACAACCACTTTTGAATGACTACATAACATGTAAATACACTGGTGTGGTGTCTTATCGATCATTGGATGCAACATTATATTTCTAAATCTACTTACTTGTAAGTACATTTATTTCTTAAAAATAAACACAGAACTTAAAAAACCTAATTTTAAACAGTTTCATGGTGTTTTACCCATATCGACGGTGTAAGTCGGCAATCACATAACTCGGTTTGCGACGTTGCAGACATCCTGTCATACTTTAATTTTTAAACGGAAAACTAATCAACGGCAATTCTTTAAAACTGCCGTGATATTTCTTCTCCATGCGAAGAAAATTCTGCAAAAACTTCAAGAAATGATGTCAGCTTGGTCTCCGTTAAAACAAAATACCATAGAGGCGGAGATTTTCAGACACTGCAAACGGGATATGTGATTGCGGACATACGCCGTCGATATGTCGATTTCATTTCAATCATGCAGAGCTGAATATGTATGTCGCAGGCAAATAGTGAAATCAGACATTTTGTCAAATGCCTAGGCAGATAGCTAAATTTTGATTGCCTACAAAATTTTGTGAATTATGGCGGAGAGCTCACAAGTTTTCAATATTTGTGGAAAAATATCTCATCAAACCTACAAACTCTTTTTGTCTCTTCCTGCTCTTAAATTGCTTCTCATATTTTCAAATTTTGACATTCTAAAAATGCTGTATTCTTTGAAATGCTGAAAATTTCAAGATAATTATCTACTCAGGGGCTAAAAATCGTTCAAAATACTATTTTGTGATGCAAATTTTTACTGAGAATTTTTTATTACGGGGTCACTTGATTATTTTGCCTAAAATTAGGAAAAGAATCAGAATTTCAATCTTAGCTAGAATATTTGACTATTTGCCCAGGCATTTGACAAAATGCCCGATTTTACTATTTGTCTGCGACATATATACCGTCAATCGACAGCACTTGCTATGAAATCAGCACTTCGCTATGAAACCAGTACTTGCTATGAAATCAGCACATGCTATGAAAATACCGTCCAACGTTGACGGTTAGAAATCGTCTCTCCTCAGGACGAAGGGAGAAATTAGAAAACAAGATAGGGGCAATGAAATTTCAGAGGAACGAATTCAGTGACCCGAAGGGTGGAATCTCGGCGAGGACTGAGGACTTGAGTCGTGTAGAAAGATATTCAGCGAAAGTCCCACCCCGCCTCACCCCTTCCGAGAAAGGCAACTTGGAGAGGGCTAATAACTCAAAAAGATTGGACTCCAAGTTAGCATTAAATCTTCGGTTTGCACCTATTGTTTAAACGCCATAATTCTTTAAAATGGAGATTCAAGGATTTTGTAGCGAATAAACATTTCAGACGCAGAGCCCAAAGCTCGACCTCCACCCCACCCCTCCCTCTCTCCACCCTTCGTTCCGTTCCCGTCCTCCACCCCCTCCTTCGTCCCCAACCCTCGCGCATATCTCACTTATACGCGATCTTTATCAGCCAACCAGCCGCTCTTCCCCGCGTAAATGGGTACCTGCCCGCCGCGGCGCTCCGGTGTTGCCAGCAATGGCGAAGTGTGAATGATCGATTATCGACATTTCTCCATTTAAAACTATGGTAAAGAATCGATTATTAAGGTGTTCGTTATAACAACCTGTATATAGAGCCTTGTCCATAGATTTAAATGGTGGATCAATTGGACGTATTTCTGCCAAACGGAACTACGTGCATTATGACGTGAGCCCTGTTATGCATATATTCTAATGGGTCTCCGGACTCATGTCTTAATGCACATAGTTCTGTTTGGCAGAAATAAGTCCAATTGATATATCGCCAAACACGCTAAGCCGCTGGTTGCTAGCTGAAAAGTTACTGTAGCAAGGTTTCCATATAATTTTTCCCCCGATTTTCTGACTTTTCCCTGACTTTCCCTGACATCCAAACAATACTTCGATGAGGATTTTTCAATTTTAAGTCCACTCTCTTCTACTCAACGCTGCTCGCAAAATTTCCTGATTTATCTTGTGAATTCTCTGACTTTTCCAGGGTGCCATAAATTCCTTCACTTTTCCTGATTTTCCAGGTATTTTTCGACCGCTGGAAACCCTGCATAGCTTAACAATGAAAAAACATTTATCATGAAAGTGCCGAACCGCGTAACTCGGTTTTAGACGTTGCAAATTCCTTGTCCTATTTTTTTCTCCAAAAAAGGCCTAATTATCTTTTTCTCACTCACTTTCGTGTGATTTTGATTCTCTTTGTTTTTTCTAAAATATTCTCTCAAATTATGGCCATAAATTTCGAGCTACGCAAGTAAAATATGAGCGAAAATTGGCGATTTTTGCAATTGTTTTGTTAATTTCACCGACGGCATGTACGCGGTAGTGCGGTGTTTTCTGAATGAGAGTTCAAGGGGAGCAGAATTACTGACATGAGAACTGGCACGCCATTTCACCGCCATTTTCTTAAGTAAACCAGGAAGCATCCTTCATGCAATAGTTATGAGGATTTGTGCTCGGCTTAGGTACAAGTACAGGGCATTGGCGGTTACAGCAAATTGGCAACATTGTCTCTCTCCATTTATACCTATGGAAATGTATCGATTCTTGGTGGGGCTAGGTGCCCCAACAAGAATCGATTATTTAACACAGGTTTAAATGGAGGAAGTCCGGTGTTGCCAAATCGCTGGATCCGCCTGTGGTACAGGGTTTGCGTAATAGACCCAAAGAGGTCTTTAAAAACGAAATGCATAACATATTCATCAACGCATCGCGTCTCATCCTTTTGATACAGTTGACTAATTTTACCTATAAACAAAACTTAGCGCGGGTGAATTAGCGATTGCTATACCTCCACAAAACATACGGCTCTATGTTTCGGAGGTTTTCGTCTTTCACTTAGGTACCCACCAAAGTCACGATCTACGAAAGTAACGAGAAAATGTTGAATAACACTGATAACATAACTTACCTCATCGAAGGAATGTGAAAGGTCATGCTAGGGAAACATCATAACGATGTATCGAATACAGATTCCACGGCATATCACATCACACGAATGTAAATAATTGAAAAGAGCGGATGACATATTTACAATAGCAAATCCGTAAGTCGATTTTAAGTCAATTTTGAGGAACAAAAATTCCAAAAATTAAAGCCAAAAAACACGGATTCGAACGGCCGTCACCAATGTTAGAACATGAACTCTGCCTGCTGATAGCTACACAGGTAACAAGGTGAAACTGCAAACCGAGCTCAAAGCATTCCTGTCACCCAACGGTAGTTTATTTGACAGACGCCAAACTCATAAACGAGTGCAAAGGTCATTGACGCCGGGAGATCGGTCAGTTGCAATGTCTGATTAGGTCCAGGCGGGAGGGGAGTGAAATTATGAGTGGAGTTTTTTTGCAACTAAAAGATACGAGAGGGCTGTGTTCATTGATTCACGGTGTACAAACAGCGTATCAATTTCATTTGAAAATGGAAATTGCCCGAATAATTTCCTTATCATCATTTTGTCGTCGACACTAATGTATCCCCTTTGCGTGATGTGGCTGATTTTTCTACGGCAATCAAACAAAGATTCAGAGAGTCTCATACTTGTGTAACTCTCGGGATTGATTTATTTCAACGAGCTATTGATTTGTGTAAATTTTCACAGGAAATGTGTGAAAAGCGCCTATTTCTGCCGTGCTAAGGAAAAACGCCGTATCAGCCATCAGGCGTTGCCAAATTTCCTTTGACAGATCACTAATTTTCTAGATAATTTGTGCGTATTTTTCTTGCAATTTCTCAGATAATTTTGTTCGTAATTTGATCTAAAATGTCTTAAAATTTCAATGAGAAATATTGATAATTTTCCTCAAGAATAAACATTTTATTGGAGGAAACTTGGCAACTCTCGAATGCTCATACGGCGTTCTTCCTTAGCACGGCAGATTTGCTGAGTTTCCAAATGCCCTTCTCCGTTTGATTTCGAGCAAAAATTGATGGAAAATCAACATGAAAATCAGGGATTATTGAATATGATAGCGAATAGTTTTTTTTGTAAAGTATGGGATCAAAAAATCGGAATTTAAGCTTTCGACAGTAACATTTCCTTTGTGAAGTCCTTTGTAAAGTAATAAACCGTGAGCGATTCAACTCCTAAAAGTACTACAATCGAGGGCGTGAAGTTCCGTTTTAATTTAATAATTTTGAACCGTTGAATCCCCAACTTGACACATTCGAATATTTAGTAGCTTTTTCTTAAAAGTAAATTTTCTAAATCTTTCTAAAATCTTTTCTAAAATTTTGAATCGTCATAATTGTTTAAATTGAAATTTGTGGTGTCAAAATTGTCGTGAACGTGTTTTCCCACCAATCGCATTAATATATGATTTTGAACTTTTCGCGCTAGTGCCTTTCCGTATGAAAGGCAATATTTGAAAGAGTCTTGGAGTTTTAAAGGATGTATTGAATTCTTCAACGTAGCAAAGTTTTCTTAAATTACTCCAAATTCTTAATTTATCCAAGAACGGTCGTAAATTGTTAAATAATATTTTCTGCAATTTTTTTGTGGTGTGATTAAATTTCGATAATGAGTGCAGCTGTCAATGAGTATAGAAATAAGCTGTCGGACGTCCGATATGTTTTTCTGGGTCTGATCCCTTCGTTTATTGCTAAGGTAAAATAAATAGGGACATGTGTCTTATTTAACGATGGCGCACTTAATTTGATGAGTGCGAACACTGATCAACATAAAGTTCTCCGCGAATTTTCCAATCTGTTTGACGATTATGACGTGAAAGATTTTGAACCAGAAACTCACTGTCATTGATTGTCATGATTAATAAAATACGTTGACTCCGAACTTAACCTCATAGATAGTACGTTTCATATTTTTTAAATATTCCGCCGTTAATTACTTTGTAGTAACCCTTTCCCGTATCAATTCTCATGGATGATGGTGTATACGTGTGATAGCTATATGACGTCGCTGCGTCTATTTAAAACGTGACGTATGCTCTCTCTCGGTCTTATTTCCATAAATAAACTTAGCGTGACTGGAGTAGGTATTTTACCGGTTGTGTATATATGTTCGATGTTCTTCTAAACAGTTCTGCGCCTACATAAAAATACAGCACTTCAAATGTAAAATCATTTTAAACATCTCTCACAACGTTCTTTTCAATTTTAACAGTTTCATTTTGTTTTTTGTTTTTTTTTTTTTGGGGGGGGAGGGGAGGCATTGAATCACAGTCCGTTACTATCTAACATAGCACCGCTTTGACGAACAACAATTTAACGTATTTACGCTGAAAAGAACTATGTGGAAGTGGAAAGATGGACTGTGCTTGTGCAAGCTGGATAAGAAACAATGTAAAAGTGAATATAGTTATTTTCGAGGAAGTGGAAAACCGGGATTTGATATTAAATCAAAAAGAACTGAGCACTAACTCGTGAGTCGTGGGCATGTGACAAGAGCGTTGTGTACAGGGCTCATGAGTTAAAGACTGCCTAGTCGTCGCACAGTGGATCGAGTCAATAGGAGAGGTCGGACAAATTTTGAAAACTTTAAACGCTTATAACTCCGTTTATACAAAACTCTGAGGTTCTAAAAGTGGTTTTATCGGTTTTCTAGTGAAATTTTCGTCTAGATGCATCCGTTAATGTTGAACGAAAGACGAAATAAATACCAAAATTTGCAGTTTTAGCCAAAAATTTCAAGTCCGACCTCTCTAAACGACTCGATCCACTGTGCGTCGTCGCTCGTGTCGCGCCTCGTCGCGCCCGGTCCTCACCGCTGACGTCACTGGCGCTTTTAAAGTCCCATTGATTCTTATGACCCTCTACTAACGAGCACACCCCATCTTTCCACTCGCACATAGTTCCTTTTAGCATAAATACGTCTAATTGAAACAAACCGTTCCCCATTTGCGCAGGTGAGCATTGGACGGCCTTCACTCCCGAGCGATTTTTCAGGACTTGGCATAAAACCGGAGCGAAAATGGGGTTCATCGAATCAGCGTTAATGGTCATGGCGGTATCGCTTTGCTTGTTCGTCGACGTACACCCGAAAAGCGTGGCGGTATGCCACCCGCAAACCGCGGAAGTATGCCACCCGCAAACGGCAGAAGCGAACGCGGACGCTTCGACAGGAGCCATGATCATCCTGTCCCTGGCCACGACGCTGAACGATCGGATGGAGTACATGAAAGACGTGGCCGGGGACAAGTACAAGAAGGGCAAGCCGGTCGAGGATCTGCCCCGCGAGGAGAAGGTCATGAATTCCGCTGTCGCCAACGCCTCGGCCGAGGGGCTGGATCCGAATTCGGTGCGACCCTTCATCCAGGCCCAGATGGACGTGGCCAAGGACATCCAGCGCACCTATATCGCCGGCTGGAAGGTCAGGCCCGAGAAGTGGGAGCCCAGGGCTCTCGAGGAGGTCAGGGAGTTCATCTCCGCCGACGACGCCAAGATCCTGAGGCTTAGTCGGCAGCAGCTTGAACTTGGAGGGTTTTGCGAGGCATACAGGGCGCAGATCTACAGGAGCCTCACAGCGCCGCATATTACTGACGCGCATAGGAAACTACTGGTGGATACGCTGTTTTGCGTTACGCTCAAGCAGTAGGAGTTTTCAATTGTAACCATACAAGCAGCGGGTAACAATACATTTTTTTACACAAATCGTCACCTTCCAGGCAAAGTATCACAAGCGCCATGCGACGTTTAAAAATTTCCGCCGCCATTTTATTTTTTTACAGAGAAATTGTTCAACGAAGCTGTCCGAAAATTTCACTGAATTTTCTTTGTGTTGCCGATAAAATCTAGTGAAATTTCCAAACAGATTCAACCAACAATTTCTCAGTAAAGAAATAAAATGGCGGCGGAAATTTGTAAACGTCGCATGGCGCTTGTGATACTTTGCCTGGAAGGTGACGAAATGACACCGAAACATTTCGGCTGGAAACGCAGCCTTCCACGGTTGGATAAATGGACCACATTTTGTAGTAAGGAACCGAAATTCTTGGATCATTTTAAAAACTACATGTGGATTTCATTTTGCAAAAAAGAACCAAGAGCATTCCAATGTTGCTGGGATTGTGCAACATACATGCTTTGCAATAAAATTACTAAAATAATGAAGCAAATCAGATTTACAAAGGTGATTTTCGTCTTGAATTAATAGTTTGTTGAGAGTAAAAATAAAACTTGTATCGATGATCGGTTTATATTTTCAGGGTGAAGAAAGTTGCACTATCTTTGCGACACTGGAATGCCCTGGTTCCTTTTTGCAAAATGCAATAATCCATATATGCCATTTGTCTCTCTCTGCAGAACAGTGCTTTTTTGGAAAAGCCAGAGACAGTGGCTCCTTATTGCAAAATGTGATCCAAATAACGATAGAAAAATCTAAAAATCTAAAATCATAGCTCTTGGCTGTATCTTACAAAGCGAGAAGAATGTTCTTAGACAATAACTGCATTCTTCTCGTTTTGAAAGTACTAAGATTTTAGATTTTTAATTTTTTTTTTCCATCCAACTGAGGAGGGCTGCGTTTTTTTGTTACCCGATGTTCGTTGGATTTTTCTTTCGTCCATGGGTGAATACTTGAGATTGAGAAAGAAGGGATGGGACTGAAAGCAATATGTGATTTTGTAATTAGGTGTGGCGCGAGGATTGTACATAGTGTACATTCTTCTCTTTCCTGAGTAACCTACACAGTTTCCCGAGTGTAAGCATGTCGTAGGTTGTATGGAGCATTGTACTTTAGAAGGGTCGTCTGAGATAATTGTATGATCATAGCTAGTCTGTTTAGAGTTCCTACGCAGGGTGATATAAAATCCTCGCACCACCTCCGTAACGTTTAAGGTTCTCGCCTCTTTTCATGTGGCTCTGTTTAAAATTTTGGGGATTCCAAACGTATATTTCTCTTGACCTAAAAGCACTTACAAAATTTCAAATCCCTAGTCCCTAGGAGGTTGATGTGATGTTGAAGACTTCTAAATTTTCAACAAAGTTACGTATATCGTGCATTTGTAAAGTGTTAAGTATTTTTGGCACAAATATTTAACAAAGATTGTTTAAAACTTATTTCAGACGTTTAAATTATCGGTAGATCTGCGAAATTTACGCAGTGAGTTAGTTAATTTAATAAGACGATCAGAAAACTGTAACTATTTACTTACGTCATAGTCCAATTGGACGTATTTCTACCAAACGGAACTATGTGCATTAACACATATGAGCCCTGAGACCCATAAGAGTGCATGCATAACAGGGCTCACGTCATAATACACATAGTTCCATTTGGAAGAAATACGTCCAATTTACACTCCAAAATCATACAATCGACAAAATTTTCACCCTTCGTAATCCTTTACACCAATAGAGATACCTACAGATTTACTCTCCCCAGAAAGTTTCAATTCGAACTCAATTGTTTTTTTATGAAAGACAAGAGGCGTCCCTCTACACTAGACGTAAGCATTTTTTTTTTATTTAATTTATTTTTCCTGCATCATTGATGTATGTTATTAATATTTATGAACATCAAAAATAAAAGTAATGCGATGTAAGTCGAATTTTTGTCAACAATTTTATTCTGTGTGATTAAATTAAATTAATTATTTACCATTGGTTATTACTTCCATATTATTTTATTACACTCAATAATGGTTTTGATTGTCAGTTTAGACCGTTTCAATTAGAACTCTGGAAGAATTCAACATTAATGGAGTTCCTATAGGAACTAGGTATGTAAATGACCAGTCACTTAACTTCAACCAGGATAATAATTGTAGAGTTTGTCAAATTGGAAAACCCAAACTAACAGAAAATACCTACAAAATGAGCAGAACAAGAAACACATAAGGAATCAAACCCAAGATATTGTGATAAATATGTAAAGAAGAACGAAGAGACAAACAAAATATTCTAATTTTTACATAATTTCATAACGATAGAAATTGGTAAATATACTACGATTAAAGATATGAAAACTTAGGTTTATTAATATTTCACTCTATAATTATCTACAAACACTTAACTCAAAATTTACTTAACGTAGAATTATTAAATACTCTAAAGCGATGAATGAGAAATAAATAACGGAAATAATTCTTAAGATTCTTCTAGCAGAATTTTATTTTATTATATTTCTATTTTATTTCACAGTAAATAATAATCAGGATAATCAGAATCCCGACGAGGTATTCCTCTCCGACAAATAAAATGTTGAGGAAAAAATGTTCCGTGTTGCAAATGTTGTCTCTTTTCAATGTCGAGCGATTACCCATCACGCAAATGTCATTTCAAAATCCGATTGATCGTTAACAATTACGGGAGAAAAGAATTAGAATAAATTGGTTCAAATTAGTGGCTGTGACAGTTTAAAAAACCAATTTCAGTGTTGCCCGCAATGGAGGACGTTTATTTCGTCAGATAGTCGCAGAATGACCGATTTTATCGAGGTCATTCATGGTAATGGACTGAATGTTTCACTATAGTATTAAAATCTTTGCTCGCAAAATTTTCAATATCAGCTTTCACAGCAGCTATCAAACAATTTACGCCGAATTTTTCGAATGCATCGGAGGCCTTTGAAATTATAAGCAATAATAGATGGTAATGGGAGATATTCTGCCGTGCTGAAGAAAAACGCCGAACATGAGACTTCAGATGTTGTCAAATCTCCATAAAGAAAATCTGAATTTTCAGGGTGACTGGATGTTTTTCTCTCAATTTTTCAGAGGTTTACATTCACAAGGGGCCTGTTGCACGTAAGAGATACAGCCAACTGAATGCACTTAATAAGGATAAATTCGCTCATAATTTCTTATCGGGGTGCTCCCTTAAAAGGTATAGGTCAAAATTCGCTCTATTTCGATCCTTCAAGATTCTTTCATCATTCGGAATTCAAGGAACTAAATTTAGTTTAAACAGGCACCTTTTAAGAGAGAAATGTGACAGATTATAAACAGTATCTCACTTTTTCACCATGCTTCGCATCTTCATCTTGACACGAACAGACGAAGATTCGAAACGCTCGCTATGCTTAGATTCTGCAGTCACCGGTCAACATTATGCGAAATCAAGAATTTGATGACTGTTGCGCTGTTGCGTCCATTGAAGCCCCGAAAAAAAGAGGCCTCGCCGAAATGAACGGGCAAGATAGCTGCCGTGCTGAGAAAAAACGCCGTATGAACCTTCAGGCGTTGCCAAATTTCCTTTGATAAAACATGAATTCTTTGGTAAACTTGTGAATATTTTCCTCACATTTCTTCGGATAATTTTGTTCACAGTTTTACCTAAAGATTACAAAAATTCAAAGGAAAAATTTTCGCAACTTTCCTCAAATGTAAGCATTTTATCGAAGGAAATTTGGCAACTCTCGAATGTTCATACGGCATTCTTACTTAGCACGGCAGATAGGGCGCGAGGCGTACAGGACACAGATCCATGAGAGCCTCAAAGTCAAAGCGCGTTATACAGGCGTAGCGGCGTATAGGAAACTATCGGTGGATACGCTGTTTTATGTTGAGCTCAAGACAACGCAGTGGTGATTTTCAATAATACCAATACGAACAGCGGATGATAAGGCATTTTTACACAAATGACCCCAAAGGGCTTGTCTTGCATCAGCCAACCGACTGAATGGGCCAATATTAGCCAAAATCAATAACCTTATCAGTCAATAAATCGTCGTCCAAGATTAATGTCGGTCATCAAAGCTTCCCTCTCGTGATAACATCAAGCTGATAAGGCAAAACTTCATAGCGCTGAGATTAATATCAGTTCAAAACTGGGTCTTAATAAACTAAATACACACGTAGAGGCGTAGCCAAAAAAAGGGGCCGGGTCCAGACCCGAAAAAACGCCACATGAGTATTCAAATGTTAATGAATTTCGCTCGATTAATTGTTCCTCTTAAAATAATAATAATAATAAAAAAAAAAAAATCATTCTCCTCGAGATTCTTAGGTTTACTATAGATCGGATTGCAAATTAAATCCTCTAAAAAATTAAAAAAAAACAGCATTCACAAATTCTTCAGATAATTCGAAAGTGCTAAAACAGTGCTTTTCCTTGGCATGGTAGCAAAATTGTTGACCACTCCATGACTCAAAATTTTCCTCACAGTGACGTCATTCTCCACGACATTGGAGACCGTCTTATTTTAGATCCCCTCCCCCTTCCACCCCTTTGAACATGTTCTGAATATAAGCCCCGAACCCATAGGTTGCAATGGCTGCATGCACCGTTGCCCCTTTGAGGGCGTATCTCTATTTCCATATGAGCCGCAAAAAACATCAATTTCATCTATTGCGGTATATCGATTGATATGACATTAAAACCTACGAAAAAGTATCGATAGACAGGGTGTTTGCAACGAACACCTTAATAATCGATTCTACACTATCGCTTCAAATGGGGAAATATCGATAATCGTTCACGCCTCAGTGGCGTTGCACGTGCTTTGCAATAAATCGATTGATCTGCCGTTTAAACCTGTAGAAAAGAATCGATAGGGTGTTCGCAATGAACATTTTAAAAATCGATTCTATACCACAGGTGCAAATGGGGAAATATCTATAATCGATTATTCACGCCTCGCTACTGCTTAGGAGGCATCGTTATAGGGATCACGAAAATGAAGCTCAAGATTGTTATTAGTTTTGTGTAAATTTCCCTGTATTTATGCGCAATTTTTGATGCTTCGGAGCACGGTGAAAAAATAGCCGAGATTTATTTCAGTCAGTGGCATGGCGTGCTTTG